GAAATAAACACTATTTAACAAAGAATGAGGGTCGTTCGGTACTTCGGTTTAGGTCTGGGATATCCATAAGATTATAATTTTGGCATAACCTGATAACCATGGGATTATCTATCTCACCTCCTATACTATATTGTATTAGCTAATACACACAATCAAACATGGGATAAGTATAATCCCGAATTTTATGCCGTGATTAATATCTTTATCCCGGTAACCAACTGACCCCTGTCAGGTTTAACTATCAAACTTCCAAATATATTACTACTAGCTAAACTTCACAAAATAATTATTTCTATCAGGTTCCACAAAGCATAATGTAATCTTTACTGAAATATAGTAAATTATACTCTCAAGAAACACAAGGTACCAAAGAACAAACAGCATTAGCAACACCACTAATCCACTATTCAACAAAGCAGAAAAAAGAAAATTCAGATAATACAAGTTGCTGAGAGAAGGGTAGAAAAAACTTACCAGAAATCACAGGGGCATTTTCTTTTCCAACGTGTCTACGAGGCCGGCGGATGTGCTTTTGAGGATAAGAATCAACGAGGCGATCGTACTTCTTTTGCACAGTATCATCAAGCCCCATGTACACCTCAGCCCACTTTTTCCTCTGTTCTTCCATTCCAATAAACCTCAAAATTTCCAACTCCTTTCTACAATAAACCCTTTTCTCTTCTCCTCCTCCTTTCCTCAAATTCATTTCTTTGGCTTCTTCCATATTACTAAGTTTTGCTTTTCTTGCCACCGTTTTTTCTCCATTCTCTTTTTCCACTTGATGAATTGCATTCTTTTTCTTCCTATTTTTTGCTGATCTTTGATCAACAGTGCAACTTTTTCCAACTTGAGAGACATCAAACATTGATGTATCATCAATTACTTCAATCTTCAGTGAACACCGCACAGTCCCGTCATCTTTGGACCCCAACAAATTCTCTTCAATACTCCCCTTGTCTTCTTCTTTCTTGATGGATTCATCAGCCAATATTCCACTTTGGGTCAGAAAATCTGTAACTTTGGGCACAAGGGTATTGTCTTTGACTTCAGAGGCACCCAAATTGAGATTCCAGTCGATATCATCAATGCTTGTCTTATCAGAGATGGCCTTCTCTGTGAAAGAATGGGAGTCGGTTTGAAGTTGGTGTTCTTTGGTGTTGGAAGAAACAGAGAGGGATTCTGTGGAAGCTGAAACAGCATGATAATCCAAATCGTCGGACATGGAGTGATAGCGGTAAAATTTTGTTAGGGGATTTGAGGTTTTGGCAAAACCCCTTTGAACTATACTCGTGTTAGGTTCCTAAAACCCCTAACTATATTCCCTTCGTATGAAAGCTCTAGTTAATTATGGCTATTAAATTGGCCCCACCTAACCATGTGTAATGACTAATTAGTGTGAGCTTTTTCAAAAATTAGTTTCGCGACGCGTTTATTCCGAGTCATATAATATATATAATTTTTGTAAAATAACATTAACATTATTAAAAAAAGGCTTTGAGTAAGTAAATATTTCTAGAAGAATAAAATGCAAATTTCTGTAAATGATGAATGTGGATCGTCGAATGATGACTTTTTTTTTTGGTAATTAAAGAACTTTCATTTCTCAGAAAATATTTACAACTTGCAATCGAGCTTAATCTGGACATAAGCCCTAGAATTTAGCTTTTCATTCCCCTGGCCTCAGTTCTAACTACTAACTACAAGAAACATTTCATTGTACATTAGGATAGTAGTTAAGTTCCATCAATCTTCTTTGTAGCCGATGTTTACTAGTTCCTCGCCCATGCACGTCTTGCGTTATTGCTTTGCTTAGTATTACTTCTGATCGTTGTTCTCCTTTGAAAATTCCGCCATTCCTCTCTTGTCATATGTAGCACAGAGTTCCTGCCAGGATGAGTTTATACAACTCAGCTGTTGTGCTCCTCCCCTTATAGTATTTTCCTGCCCATTCAATTTTATTTGCCCACGTCATTGTTTGCCTCTAAATCCCTTGCCATTGCAGAATTGCTGTCCATACACTTGAGGAATAAGGACATTTAAAGAACAAGTGATCAATGGTTTCCTCCTCAGTATTACATAATTAACATGTTGCATCTTCCACATAACCCCAACCCCTCAATCTGTCTTTAGTCAGCAGCCTTTGATGTGCAGCTAGGAATACTGTAAAGTTCCATTTTGGCAGTCCAGCATTGTTGTACACCAGTTTTCTCCACGGTACTCTAACAAAGTCACCTCTAAGTTTCACATACATAGTCTTAATAGAAAAACTTCTTATCCCCTCTACATCCTCCTCTGCATAACCAGCTTCCTCAAAATATTGTTTGGCTTGAAGGATCTTCTGTACCATCCAAGAAGCTTGTTTTGGTTCAATGCTCCACAATGAATTCTGCTTCTTATGATACACATGTATCCATTGCACCCAATCTTTTTTCTTGCATAGGTTCCACAGGAGTTTACATATAGCTGCCTTATTCCATGCCTCTATATCAAGTAAATTCAAGTCACCTGCTGCTTTAGGTTTACACAAGTTGTCCCATGACAATAGAGCTTTCCTTGATACTTCTATACCCCCAGTCCATAGGAATGTTCGACATACTCTTTCAATGTGTTGGATCAGTTTCTTTGGCAGCACAAACACCTGAGACCAGAATACTTGAATAGAGAATAGCACACTCTTGTTAGCTAAATTCTTCCTGCATAGGACAGGAACTTTGATGTCCAAGATTGGATTCTCCTTAGCATCTTTTCAAGCAGAGGTTGGCACTGCACCAATGACAACCTCTTAGAGCTAAGAGGTACTCCCAAGTACCTAACTGGTAATGTTCCTTTGACAAAGCCCCGAGCTTGTAAGATCTCCTGTTGTTGATCATCATGCACTCCACCGAAGAATATGGAGCTTTTATCAACATTTGCCACAAACCCTGAAGCCTTTGAAAACTGCTGAAAACACTTAAATAGTAGCTGAACAGATATAGCATCACCTCGACATAACAGTAATAAGTCATCAGCAAAACTCAATTGCACTATGTTCGGTTTGCCACATTTAGGATGGTAGTTGAAGTTAGGGTCCCTCTTGAGTGTCTTCAATAATCTTGTCAGATACTCCATAACCAATACAAACAGGTAAGGAGATAGTGGATCTCCCTGTCTCAATCCTTTCTTAGCTTGAAATGGCCTTGTAGGCTGCCCATTAATTATGATGGAATATGAGACTGTTGTTACACAGCTCATAATCCATTGCACAAATCTCCCTGGCAGCTGCAGATATGTCAACACTTGTTCTAGATAACCCCATTCAACTGAGTCATAAGCCTTCTTCATATCTATTTTCATCATGAATCTAGGAGAAACACCTTTTCTGCAATATCCTTTAATTAACTCATGACTAAGTATTATGTTGTCATTTATCAGTCTACCAGGAACAAAAGCAGACTGACTTTTATCCTCCAGTCCATCCATCACTCCTTGTAATCTATTAGTTAGAATCTTTGATATAATCTTGTAAAGTATTGTGCAACATGATATTGGCCTGTACTCATTAATTTTAGAAGGGTTTTTCACCTTAGGAACAAGAGTTACTGTTGTACAATTTATAGGTTGATACATATTTGAACTTGAGAAGAACTCCATAACTGCATCTGTAATTGTGTCTCCTACACAAATTATAGCTAAAATTGTCCTAAATTAACAAGGGAAACTTACACAAATGATCCAAATAAGTCTTAACTTACCAACCTCTAGCTATTAGTCATAGACTTAGCAAAACTAGCCAAGTACATATAAAAATTAAAAAACCAAATAAATAAGGTTCTTTCTCTCAAAGAATCACATGCAAAAATCACCTTTCATATTTTTAAGCGTGATTAACAATCTTAGATGCAAGACGAAAAGGAAATTTCATGGATGAGGTAGCAAATAGGGTGATGAAATACAAAAAAAAAAAAAAACAATATTCCAAAAAATCTAAGCAAAAAGGAACTTTTTCAATGGGTATCGTTGTAATTCATTGAAAACATATAGATAAGTCAATATACAAAATTTGAGGAAGATTGGAGGTGATTTGGACTGGTTTTGTACCAAATTCCGTAATTAAATCGAGTTCAAAAAAATCTTCTGTGACACATGTATCAAACATGTATCACGCATGTATCTCACACACAGGTATACATGGATATACATGTGATACACAATTGATACAATTATGTGATACACAAATGATATATGGTGTGATAGGCATATCATTTTTTTCATGTTCAGTTTTTACTTCGAATTTTCAATTCAAACCACCTCAAAACTTCACCAAATCATCCCAAAAACTGAGATTCGAGCTCCTTTAAATGTACCCAATCTATTCTAATAACACCCACTCAAAAGAAAGCAAAAATTTGGCATTTTTTGCTACAAATAGCTAATTGGCTAATATTATTAATATTTGACTAATATTAGTAATATTTTTTGAATTGAGCAATTTTTGAGCTACTTATAAGTTATAATTGGACATAGCTGCTAGTTTCACGATTAACGACCGTATACCGTGTTCACACTAAATTTAGTTAGTCAAACTCTAAATAGTTTTCAAGAACTGAATGTCTTAATAGTCCCCTTAAAATAGGCTATTTGTGCACTTCGTCTGTGTGTTTTCAATGTAGCCTGAAGTGTACAAATAGCCCCTTTTGAGGCTACTGTTAATTTTTATTCTTATTTCAAATTTTTATAAATATAATTTATGCGCTTCTGAATCATAAGAAAAGGATAATTTTGCTATTATTTTTGGTTAACTTTAGAATTTACACTACCATTTTCGGTCAATTTTAGATTATTTTGAATTAAGTAGTCTAACGTTTGATTTACATTTTCAATAGTTTTTCTATGATGGAGCAAAAAAGAAAAAAATAGGGGTTTGAGTAGGGTGGGGACGAAAAAAAAAAGTTTACTTCCACTTAGGAAGCGATATTATAATGTGCATAAGTTTTTTTTTTTTTTTTAAAATGAATAATATACATAGTCTTTATACGAAACCCCACGAAGTGTGCTTGACCTAAAAACCCTAAACCCAGCATCGTCTCCTCTCCAGTCCTCTCCCCAAAACCCCCCCAATGGAGTCTCCGCCACCCTCCGCCGCCAAGGTCGGCCGTGCCACCATAGAGAAGGCAGTGAGCGCCCTCCTCAAATGGAAAGAATCCCAGTCCAAAATCCAGAAAGCCCAACTGCTCCCACAAGACGACTTCATCTACCTCAACCTCACTCTCAAGAAAATCCCACCAAAGCCTCGTACCAACGCTTTCAGAATCCCTTTCCCTAATCCTATTCACGATCCTTCCTCCTCCGAGCTCTGCCTCATCATCGACGACAGACCCAATTCCAAACTCACTTCGGACGCCGCCAAAAAGATCATCAAATCCCAAAACATACCCATCAGTAAAGTCATTAAGCTCTCGAAGCTTAAAACTAACTACAAACCCTTTGAAGCAAAAAGAAAGCTTTGTGATTCTTACGACCTTTTCTTGGTCGATAGGAGGATTGTTCATTTGCTTCCTAAGCTTTTAGGGAAGCAATTTTTCAAGAAAAAGAAGCTGCCTTTGCCATTGGATTTGATTCACAAAAATTGGAAGGAGCAAGTGGAGAGGGCTTGTGGGTCCGGGTTGTTTTACTTGAGGACTGGGACTTGTTGTGTGATGAAGGTTGGTAAGGTTTCAATGGAGAGTGAGCAGATTGTGGAGAATGTGATGGAAGCAATAGAGGGTGTTGTTCAGGTGGTTCCCAAGAAATGGGGCGGTGTGAGGAGCTTGCACTTGAGGCTTTCTGATTCTCTTGCATTGCCTTTGTATCAAGCTTTGCCTGATATCAAGCTCAAGATTGAGGGGTTTAAGCAGAAACAAGCCGAAGAAGAAGTGAGTGGTGGTTTGGTTGAGGTTAAGGAGAGTGAAAAGAAAGCTGATGAGGGGTCAGGGAATAAGAAGGGGAAGAAGAATAAAGGGAGGATTCATGAAGTTAGGTATATGGACTTTGACACTGGTGTAGATGAATTAGAGAGTGATGATGATGTTGGTATTATCACAGAAAATGCTGGCAATGATGCAGAAGAGGACAACAATGATGAAGATATCCAGGAGAGCGAGGATGATGGAGTTGAGAAAGCAAAGAAGAGGAAAACTGAGAAGAAAGCGAAAAAGTTGAAAAATTCTGAGAAGCATGGTGATGCTCTGAGTGAGTTGAATGGTGAGAAGAAGGCCAAGAAGTTGAAAAGTGCTGAGAAACAGAAGAAGAGTAAGTTGTCTTTGAAAGATGGAAAGAAGAATAAGAAGACTAGTGAGGTTGACAAAAAACTGAAAGATGGGTCGGCAAAGAGTAAGAGAAACAAGATTAGAGCATAAGAATAATCGATTAGGAGTTTTTCTGATACCACACTCCTACTATCCTGGAGTATTCAGCGGGGCATCACCTAAGCTTCAGCTGATTCTTTCTATCCTGAAGTCTTCGGCAGGCATTGCCCTCAGACTCTTTCGCAAGTCTCCTGTTTTACTTTTCGTATTTATTTTGTTATCAATTTTGATTTTGAAGGAATCCGTAGTTCAAATACTGACCTGCTGTGAGTAGCTGGCTCTTCTATGTTAATCAAAGATATGTTATTTTATTTAAAGCTCTCACTTCTAGTCTTCAATGATGTTTAGAGATTCTGGGGTATACTTTTCTGTGTTCTAATTGTCTTTCTTGATGCAAGTATCATGTCAATCTTGATTTTTGATATTTATAATGACTTTCAATTTCATATCCAGGGATGAAGAGCTGTAATCCATTTTGACTGTTTTTTGTAGCTAATTAGTAGTTTTACAACCTTTAGCGGTTGAGGCATGTAGTAGATAGATTGTCCCCTCTTCAGCATATGCTGTTAAGAATGTCATTTCATATGGCAAAGAGGGAGATTCTACTCTATATTGGTTCTTGTAAGAGGATGCCATTTAATCTCGAGCGGTTGTTGGAAGTTAACATTTGACTTGCCTGATGAAATGTTAAATAACTAGTGATTAGTATACATTATTAGCATGATTTTTTGTCCGATTTTAACATTTTACTATTGTATTATTTTCCTCCACATGGAGCAAGTATGAAATTGAGGTATAGTAGTTCTGTATGGAGCAAACATGGGAGTGCTAGAGAATATAGGACTTTGTGAATAATGCTGCCAAGTTATGATTAATTATGATTAACTGCAGAAATAAGATTAAAAATGGCTGCTCATTGTACTGCCTGACAAGTTTAGCGATGCTGGGTTTGCTTTTCTAAATGTAGGTGAAATGTGGGCTATGAAATATTGACAGCATTAGGGTTGATAAGATTGAGAAACCGATGAAATAACGTCTGTATCTAATCTATTTAGTAGTTCCCAAATCATCATGGAATCATTTTTGATATGTTGGGGAAATCCCCGTACACAAGCAGTATGCTAAAGACTTAGAAATATCATTTAGATATTGATGTCTTTTTCTCTTTGTGGATGCTTCATTTACCCTTTCTCTTTGCTTCAATCTTCATTTGTGATCATGATTCATGGATATTATGCTTCTCTTAGTGATTAAAACATATCTCTATACATCTTGTAAGATAATATTTCATTGATGTAGAAGGGGAGCATCCCATATGCAATAGCAGTAGGCCAAAAGTCGTGGATCTCATACGAATTCTCTACAAGATTCTCAGACAAAATAACCTTTTCTGCATTTTGTTCTGCCATCTCTTTCTTTTAGTGACAGAAACTTCTTTCTGTGCACACATTTTCCTCTGCCTATTAATTGCTCAAAAGATCCCCTTCATATTGGTTACCAATTGAAGGTGAACGAAGGCATCTAATTCCGATTCCAAAACCATGTCTGACTGCATCTATTGAACTCGATTTCTCTGGGCTAATTTTATTTTACATATTGCCGACCTATATAGCTTTGTATTCTTTGTATGTAGATAGTTGTTTTGGCAAGCAAAAGTCAATGAATTGGTATTTGCAATCTGTAGGTCACTCTCATGTGCAATGATCCTTTTTCCCCCCTTATGATCAAATCTTCACATCTGGTTTCAACTCAAATGTGTGTGACCTATAATTTGCCCTACATTGAATTTGGCCTGGTATAAACAGTCTGGTAGGCATTTGTGACGTGCATTCTGGAGCCTATTTTTCATCCTGCATTTCTGAATGACCTGCTTGAAATATTTTTGAAAGGACACTCGAAAAGGGAAAGGAACTAACGTTACAAAGCAGTGTTTGAATCCAGTTGGTACCTTTTTCTCTTTGTCCAAATAGCTTGCAGGAGTTTGAGGCTTAATCAGTTGAGCAACATATAACTTGAGGAAGTTGTAGACTACTCACTTGGTGCTTGTTCCTAGGGCTTTGGTTCAACGATAAGAGCGTGCATGTAATGTGTGGGCCAGGCGTGCATCACGAGTTTGAGTTTGCCATAAATAAAGCCTGGTATTTAAGTGAAGTAGGGTAGAGGGACGAGTCTATTATCCACCGAGTTACGTACTGCACCAGTTGGCCTGTAGAGGGGCGAGTCCATTATCCACTGATTAACGAACTACACCAGTTGGCCCTTAAGATGCTCTTGAAGCATTAAAATTTTGCATTATCCTTGGTCATAGGAATGACGCTGTTGACATGATGTGCATGATAACAATGATTAGGCAACAACTGCTTTTGCTTTGGTGTAATTAGTTTGTGCTTCTGGAATGCAGAGCAGATCAAGTGAAAGATTTGCCCCAGTGTGCGGGGCTGGATTATCCTACTGCTAGCTGTTACAGGCCAGGCCGTCTCCCATCTCCAGGTTGTCATTTAGGCCTACATACAACAAAAATAATTATTCGCCTCAATCCTTACTCCGAGTAAGTTGAAGTCGACTACATAAATCCTCATTGATCCTGTTCATCATTAACATGTACTTTTCGCCTCTAAATAGCCAGACTGGCCCCAAGACGACCATGACCGCGTTTCTCCGACCAGCACTAATTTAACCTTTAAACAATTAGACGTGCAGACCTCTTTTTTTGACTTGGCATTCATCTTTTTTTATTTTGGTCCTCCATGACATTCTCATCCTCCTTTTTTTAAACAACTATTACCTACTACTATTATTGTATCTTGGTAATCTGTGTATCACTAACTCACGTTTAGCTCATTACTCTGTCGACAACTAATACCACTGTTAGTAACATGTTTATGGTCATCCACCTAAACCTAAAAAATTATTACTAATTTTATATTTTAGTAATATCTGCGTCTACACTAAGTCATGATCCTATATCAAGACATTTTGTTCACAACTTTCTTGGGAACTAAATCATAAGCCAACAAAGAGAAAAAAAACAAGAATATTTAAGGAAAGATTTCTGCGAGAACATGGATGAATCTGAGAAACTCTCCTACCAAGAGGAAAGCCAGAATTTGGAAACCACCACGAACGAGGAGACTCCTGCTGATGCTACTGCCGCCGGTGGCGAACAGAGTTCAGACTTGTTGAAAAAAGAATTGGACAGTCTAGAAAAAATGGTGGTGGAAAAGCTGAATTCTGATGAAACCAAGGCTACCATTGAATCAGTAGTAGTTAACCCTGCGGTATCATTGGCACAAGGCTTCACACAATCTGCAAAGGGCTTGGTTAATAAAGTAGAGGGCAAGATTGAGACATGGTCCTCTTTACTACACAAGAAGCAGACAAATGGGACTGAGGAAACTGATTCATTGCCTACTTCAGATGGCCATGTTGGAGAGTCATCAGCAGCAGACACAGAGAAATATGTCAAAGTTCCAGAGCCAACCAATAATGGGGATCATGAGCAAACTCCTAGAAGCACTGAGAATCAGGTAATGCGTTCATTAGCTCTTTGGCAACGGCTTCATTCCAACCAAATATTTCAATATATTGTGAAAACTCACAAAATTTCAATATATATTAGTGAACTCATAATTTTAAAAATTCAATGCTAAGAACCTTAAAGGTCGAGCCTATTAAGTTTAAATTCTAGATCCACCTTTGCGTCTAACTAGTTGAAATTGAAGGCAGATCCAAAATTTAATCTTTGATGGGTTCAATATATTATATCGTAGCATTAAATTCAGTGCAATCTTAAAATTAATGAATTCATAATTTAATATCTGTTATGTTAAGTATGTTTTCGTATATATTTAAATTTGGCAGAATAGCCTAGTAGATGCTTTTACTTGTTCCACTTTGTCATCCCGGTCCCTATATTCATGGAGTTTCATTTGGACACTTCCATTTGATCAGAATTCATATTTTAAACTCCTCTTACCGTTGACTGAGCATATGTGGAAACTTGACGGCTGAGCTGGACAAAATGTGTGCAATGCACGCGTATAATGAGCGTGAATTCATAGATTTAGATTGAAAAGGAGACCAAAATAAGAATGAAAAAAAAGAAAAGGAAAAAAATAGAAATATTTACACATCGTTCCCCTTCTTTCTTGTTGATGTTTCCACCCCAAAATCCCTCGTCAAAAATCTCACCGGAAAAGCTTACCTTGCCAAATCTAACACCACACCAGCAACCTTTTACTTGTACTCCTCTATCCATTGACTCAGAAACGGGAAAAGAAAATTTTCACTGCCTGAGGCAGCTGCTACACCACCAGCGGAGTAGATCGAAAAGGGTCACCGACGACACATCCCCTCCAACTCCCCTCCGCTGTTCTTCCTTCTCTCATCTTTCATCTCTTTCTCGTCGACTGAAACAAACCCCAAGTAGAAAGCACCCATTTTCGTACTCCAAAATTTCACTGAATCAAGAAGCACCCGATGGGAATCACTAGTGGTCACCAATCAAAGGGACATAGGAGAGAAACCTCCACTTCAGATTTCATCTCTCACAAACTATCGACACAAAATTTTAAGTCTTCTTCTCCAAGATTTTCACTTCGATTCAATTATTTTTTTCAAATTTATGTTCAAAATAATCTATAAAGATTGTATATTTTTTATGTATTGGTTACATAAAATTGAAAAAGATTTAGAATTTTGGTTGATGAAAAGGGAGAAGAAGACATAAACTTTTATTGTTTTTAACCAATGAACAATCCCCCAAATTCAAGTGTGAAGATGAATTGTGGCTTTGAAAGGTACTTGACGTATTTGCTTAGAAGGAAAGCATATAGCAAAAACAGGAAGGGGATCTCTTTGCCCTTTTTTTTTTTTTTTTTTTGATGACGTGGTATTCATTATATGATGTGTCATGTATTTCAGAGCGAGTGAGGAATATGCAGTGACGGAAGGGTTTAAAATATAAATTTTGTTCAAGTGGAAGTGTCCAGATGAAACTCTATGGAATATAGGGATCGGGATGACAAAGTGAAACAAGTAAAAGGGTCTACTAAACTATTCTGCCGTTAAATTTTGAAAATACTAAGTTCAATTTGATCCGGCAACTGAGCTCCGTTTGCCTCTAAGTGAAGAAACTTAAGGGGAAATGGGGTTTTTCAAGCTTAATACCACTTATCATTTGGTATTGTTTTCTGTAGCGTAGAAACTACAGCTTAGTATTATTTCCTGATATAATACGGCATACTAACGAATTTACAATTTTTCCTTTTATTGTCACGTTTGCAGTCACTTGTTGGAGTGACCCCTCAGACTACGACTTCATGGATGAACTGTTGTGGTTTACTTGAATTTCTTGTGAGAAAATCAGATCAATAATTATTGGTAATTGACATTTGATGAAACTTATGTTTTTCCTTATCATTTCTTTGTTTTTTTAGCCTATTATTATATATTGTAATAAGCTATTGTTGCATTACAGGACAAAAAGAGTTGCTAAGCAGATTGTGTTGGTTCGTGATGTAGTGTGTGCAGAATATTGCAGAGTGATCTTAGAATTTATCTTCTTTTTAACTAATGTAATAAAGTTATGAAAATTAATGTGCTTGTGAGAGGGCTTTGTTTCTTCATTTTCTGTTTCACGTGTATGTTCTTAAAATATCGATCCAAGAATGACTATTCTGAGTTTTGAGTATGATTTGCTAATTCTGTCTTCTTCTATATGTTACTATTTTTGACGGACCAATGATATACTTGTCTAACCGTACTTTACAAGAGCCGAAATCTAATAAGGAGATTTTTTACATTGTTCTCCCTTTCTAAAATCTATTCTCATAAATAAATAGTAATCTTTGTTTATTCCAAAAATAATATTTTTTTTATAAATATTTTTAGCAGTTTCACTTGGGTAACTCCATTAATTGAGGAATCCCACCACTATTAGAAATTCGCTAAATACCGACCAGAAAAACCGATCAACTTTGGTCGGTTATGGTCAATTACCGACCAAAACGCGGCCATATAAGGGTGGACGGTATTTTGATGATCGAATGGATTACCGACCAACGTTGGCCGGTAGCTTTAAACGACCATATGACAATTTAAATGATTTACCGACCAACTTTGGCCGGAAATATATTTTATTAATTTAATTTTGGACGAGATGGTGCGTAGTATCCCGCAAACAGAGAAGCTGTTCATTGACGGAGATTTCAATGGCCATATTGGGGCTAGTGCTAGGGGTTATAATGATGTGCATGGCGTGTTCGATTTTGGGGATAAGAATGAGGAAGGTAATTCATTGTTGGATTTCGCTAGAGCTTTTGATTTGGTTATAGCTAACTCGAGTTTTCCGAAGAGGGAAGAGCACCTGGTCACTTTCCGAAATTCAATGGGCAAGACTCAGATTGATTATCTTCTTTGCAGGTAATGCGATAAAGGTCTGTGCACTGATTGCAAGGTCATCCCAAGTGAGAACCTCACGACCCTACATAGGCTCCTAGTTATGGACCTGGAGATCAAGAGGAGTAGGAGGAAGAGGGCGGTGCGTAGGCAACCTAAGATCAAGTGGGGTAACTTGACCAAGGACAAGGCTCAGGAGTTAGGGAAGAAGTTGTTGGCTATGAGGGCCTGGATGAGTAGGGGGGACGCGTCTAGTATGTGGTTCACGACTGCGAATTGCATTAGGGTAGTTGCTACATAGGTCTTAGGGGTCACGAAGGGCTCTCCTGGGGGTCATAGAGGGGACTAGTGGTGGAATTGAGAGGTCTAAGGTAAAGGAGAAACTAAGAAAACTGCTTATTTGAAGCTAGTGGAGAGTACAAATAAGGAGGAAAGAAGGACTTATCGGGAGTGTTACAGAAAGGCAAAGAAAGAGGCAAAGTTGGCAGTTACGAAGGCTAAAAATGCAGCGTTTGCTCGTTTGTATGAGGATCCCGGGGGCAAATACGGGGACAAGAAGTTGTACCGGTTGGCCAAGGTGAGGGAGAGAAAGGCCCGTGACTTAGACCAAGTCAAGTGTATCAAGGACAAGGATGGCAAGGTATTGATGGATGAGACATTTATTAGGAGAAGAAGGCAGACATACTTCCATAAACTGTTGAATGAGGAGGGGGATAGATGCATTGTGCTGGGCGAGTTGGAGCACTCCGAGAGTCAGCGGGATTTTAGGGTAATGTAGGCGGATTACGGTAGAGGAGGTGGAAGAGGCGATGCGTAAGATGTGCGGGGGCAGAGCGACGGGGCCAGACGAAATCCCGGTGGAATTCTGGAAGAGCACGGGGCGAGCAGGTTTGGAGTGTCTCACTGGGCTGTTTAAGGTTATTTTTAAGACGAAGAAGATGCCCGAAAAATGGAGATGGAGTACGATGGTTCCGCTTTACAAGAACAAGGGTGATATCCAAAATTGTAACAATTATAGGGGTATCAAGCTGTTGAGTCATACTATGAAGATTTGGGAGAGGGTGGTGGAGGCGAGGGTGAGGAGGTGTGTGTCTATTTTCGAGAATCAGTTTGGTCATGCCGGGGCGTTCGACTACGGAAGCGATTCATCTGGCGAGGAGATTAGTGGAGCAGTACAGGGAGAGGAAGAAGGACATTCATATGGTGTTTATTGACCTTGAGAAAGCGTACGATAAAGTCCCCAGGGTGGTCTTGTAGAGGTGTTTGGAGGCTAGCGACGTTCCGGTAGCGTACATTAGGGTGATTAAGGATATGTATGACGATGCTAAGACTCGGGTGAGGACTGTGGGTGGCGACTCGAAGCATTTTCCTGTGGTGATGAGGTTGCACCAGGGGTCGACTCTTAGCCTATTTTTATTTGGCTTAGCAATGGATGTACTGTCGCGACACATCCAAGGGGAGGTGCCTTGGTGCATGCTATTTGCTGATGATATAGTGTTGATTGACGAGACGCGAAGCGGAGTTAACGCGAGGTTGGAGGTTTGGAGACAGACCTTGGAGTCTAAAGGTTTCAAATTGAGTAGAACCAAAACAGAATACTTGGAGTGCAAATTCAGTGATAGGACCCATGTAGCAGACGTAGAGGTAAAGCTTGATGGTCAAGTTATCCCCAAGAGAGCGAGTTTTAAGTATCTTGGGTCCATTATGCATGGTAACGGGAAGATTGACGAAGATGTCGCACATCGCATCAGAGCGGGTTGGATGAAGTGGAGGCTCGCTTCTGGTGTTTTATGTGACAAGAATGTACCGCCAAGACTTAAGGGTAAGTTTTATAGAGTGGTGGTTCGACCGGCTATGCTGTATGGGGCTAAGTGTTGGCCAGTCAAGAACTCCCACGTGCAGAAGATGAAAATAGCAGAGATGAGGATGTTGCGATGGATGTGTGGGTGTACCAGGAGAGATAAGATCAAGAATGAAGTTATCCGAGACAAAGTGGGAGTAGCCTCTGTCGAGGACAAGATGCGGGAGTCGAGGTTGATATGGTTCAGACATGTCAAGAGAAGAAGCATTGATGCTCCTATTAGGAGGTGTGAGAGGTTGGCCATGGCGAGCTTGAGAAGAGGTCGAGGTAGGCCTAAGAAGTACTGGGGAGAGGTGATCAGACATGACATGGTGATGATTCAGCTTACTGAGGACATAACCCTTGATAGGAGGGTGTGCAGGTCGAGGATTAAGGTAGAAGTTAGTGGGTAGTTTTTAATCGCTCACCGATAGTCTTAGTAGCACGCATGTCCCTTCATATTCTTAGATTTTTATTACGGTATGTGATTTTGTTCGCCTCAGGTATTGTATTCTCTATTGCTATTATTTGGTACTACTTATTCTGTTGTCCCCTTTTCTTTTCTCTTCTCTCTTTCTTCTTTTCTTGCTTTCCTCTTTTTCTTATTACCCTTCCTGAGCCGATGGTTTATTGGAAACAACCTCTCTACCTGTTAGGTAGGGGTAAGGTCTGCGTACAGACTACCCTCCCCAGACCCCACCTAGTGGGAACATACTGGGTTTGTTGTTGTTGTAATTTTACCGACCAAAGTTGGTCGGTGTGTTTAATTTATGTTTTTTTATTAATTATTAAAATTAATAAAAACCGACCAACTTTGGTCGATAACTGAAAATATATATTTTTTTAAAATAATTAAAATTTAACATTACCGACCAACGTTGGTCGGTAACCTGAACAGTGCAGGT